GAACTTGGGATTAGAAGCATCAGATGAAGGTCTCTAGGCAAAGTGAAGGATTGGACTGAAATCAATCTGAATGAGGAGCTCTTAGGTCTGTTGTCCTGTTCCATCCAGCTAGGCAACCACACACCCCCAATCTCCTAACCCAATGGCAGAAGGCTAGGTGATTATGGAGAAAATGAACCTGAGAGGCTGCAGGATTGGAGGACCTCAAGCACAGAAAAAGGTGGCAAGGGAACCCTGGGTGGCGCAGCGGTTTGGTGCCTGCCTTTGGCCCAGGGCGCGATCCTGGAGACCCAGGATCAAATCCCATGTCAGGCTCCCGGTGCATGGAGTCTGCTTCTCCCTCTGCCTATGTCTCTGCCTCTCTCTCTCCCTGTGTGATTATCATAAATAAAAATTAAAAAAAAAAAAAAAAAGAAGAAAAAAAAAAAGAAAAAGGTGGCAAAAAGTACTGAAAAAAGGGGGGATTAACTAAGTCTACATACCAGATGGTGAAAATGTGCAATCCCCTTGTATTATACCACCACCTTTAGCCATGTTCTTGGCAGATCATTCTTTTAGGAAACTGGCTCCAGGGAAAACACCTATAGATCCTAACATCTTGGGGTATTCCAACAAAATAAAATTGATCCCTACTCAGTCTTGTTTTTTTAAAGATTTTATTTATTCATGAGAGACACACAGAGGCAGAGAGAGACACAGGCAGAGGGAGAAGCAGGCTCTCTGCGGGGAGCCGGATGCGGGACTTGATCCCAGGACCAGGGGATCATGACCTGAGCGGAAGGCAGACGCTCAATCACTGAGCCACCCAGGCGTCCCCCTACCCAGTCTTGTACAGTGAAGTCCACCAGTTGGCAAATTCCACCCAAGAGGTGGTCCTGTCAATCTTGTAATGCTTTCTTCTTAAATATGACCACGATGGGGCACCTGGTGGCTCAGTCAGGTAAGCATCTACCTTTGGCTCAGGTCTATCCCGAGGTCCTGGGATGGAGCCCTGAGTTGCTGAGCAGGGATCCCGCTTCTGCTTCTCCCTCTGCCCTTCCCCCGCTCATACTCTCTTTTCTATTGCAAATAAAGATCTTAAAAAAACATAAGAATGGGCAGCCCAGGTGGCTCAGCCGCCTTCAGCCCAGGGCATGATCCTGGAGTCCTGGGATTGAGTCCCTGCATGGAGCCTGCTTCTCTCTCTGCCTGTGTCTCTGCCTCTCATGAATAAATAAAATCTTTAAAAACAAAACAAAAAACATAAGAATGCCCAACAAACATTACTTAGCATCTGAGGAAGGCCTCTTATGTAAAAGCCAGAAACCAAAATAAATAGAAAAAAAGGAACAGAGAGAAAAGACAGACAACACAGGAAGTAGGAGAAAACCTAAAATAAAATAAAAACAAGCAAAAAGCCAAAACAATACTGTTAAATATGCAGATGGGGACTTTCCAAGGTGAGGTTTCAGTATGTTAAAGCTTGTTAGCATCTCTTTGGACGTGGCAGTACACATGTTCAACTGCTCATGAGGCCCTGAAGATCCACTGTGCTCCAGAGGTTCCCCAAGAGAACCAGTGGGTCTTTCCAAGCCTCATTCAAGCCTAACTGAATCAAAGGGGCCTGCACAGAGCCTGGGGATCAGCAGCAAGCGTCTACTTTTTTCAGGCTTAGAGATTTGCCTTGTTACCCTGACCTCTCCTTACCCCAGCCCAAGAGCCCTCTCTCTGCCCCTATGGGAGCAGGAGAGGAAAGGTATGTAAGCGACTTAAAAAAAAATTGAGACATAATCCACATATCATAAAATTAACCCTTTAGAAGTATACAAAATTCAGTGGTTTTTAGTATATTCAAAGTTGTGCAAGCAGCACCAATAATTCCAACTAAAACAAATCACTCCTCAATTCTCTCAATCCTTATCAGCTTCTTCTTCCTCTGTTGTAACTCGGCCCACTGCCTTTCTATCTGTAACACAGCAGGAACTGCACTCACTTTGGATTTATTATGTACTGATCATCTGAGTGCAAAGATTGTGCTTCATTCCTGTATGCCCCGATGCCTACCCCACAACATATTTTATCTTTGCAAGCAGGTATCTACCCCCTTTCACATCCTTATTCTCCATATTTCCAGTAGGAATTCTACAGACATTTCCTGAAATAACTATAGATACTTCAGAACTCATCTTACAGAAAACGTTCACCATTCTTACATGCTTATCAACGGGTTCACTTAATAAAAAAATCTATACTTTGAAAGATAAACAGCATCACACTTTCAGTTTTTATAATAATTCTCAAAAGCCATTTGCATAGCTTAATCCCTGAGCACCCTGGCCACCAGGGTCTATGAGCATCCATCAATGTCCGAATCTAATGTAACACCACTATTGTCTCTGTTACCCAAAAGGAAAATGGTACTTACCTTCTCTCTATCACCCTCCAGAGCTGGCGCCAGAAGTCCAGATTCCTTTCAAATGGAGTTAGTAGCAACTTTTGTTCCTCTTCTAACCTGGCTTTAGAATGAAAAATTTGTATCTTTGCCAGTTTATAATTAACAGTTTCAAGCAGTAATACACTCAAATTCATTGCATTAAAAATAAGTACACAAATATTGACTATTAAACTTTTTATTACTTTCTCTTCAATTTGAAAATCAAATTCCAAATTTTATACTTAATCTATTAAGCCTTAGATGTCTATCCTACAAAATGATGTTTCTCCCACACACCGCTCTAGAGAGTGGTGATCAACTCCACAGTGACTAGCAGCTAGAGAAGGGTAAGAAGAAGAGAAGGCCAGGAAGGGAGTGGAGTAATCAATTTGCCATCTTTGTGCAAAGATGCACAAGTACCCAGCAATACTGGCTGCACACAGAATTTGCACTTACAAGAAATCTGCCATTTCCTTTTTAAAAGAATTAGGCCTTCAAAATGCAAATAACAACGTGAACACACCAAAGTGCCAGATTCAGAATTTCAAAACAAATCTTCATATAATCTAACACTCACCGGACAAGTTGACGTCTCCATTCTAGAAAGTTATCTTTCTCTGCCTGTTGGAGTTCTTCTGGACTAGTGTTTTTGTCCCACTTTGGTCTGAAACAATCACGGAGGAATAAAAAAAATTCCACGTGAGTTACGAAAATAAAACAGGGGATCTGGGTTTAATAACGGCGGCTGAGAAGAGGAAACAGGAAAAAGAACAGCAAATGAAGAATCTTATACTCAGATTATGCCCTGTAATGTCCTACATTCTTGTTCAACTCACCTCCGTGGTATACTCAAGAACTGTTTGTTTTCTTCGTGGAGTTTCTTAATTCTCTGGCTCTCCTCAAAAGACAGCAGTCCAGTTCTAGCCTCAGGATGCACAAACTTGATATTTAGCTTCTCTGTTTAGAGAAAAGAAAGCATTGCAATGAAGTGGCAATATAATGGATATTGGGCGTTACCCTGAAAATGAAAAATGTAGCACCTAAAACAGAATTTTTTTTTAAAGATTTTATTTATTCATGAGACACACAGAGAGGCAGAGACACAGGCAGAGGGAGAAGCAGGCTCCCCGTGGAGAGTCCCCACGCGGGACTCGATCCCAGGACCCCAGGATCACACCCTGAGCCAAAGGCAGATGCTCAACTGCTGAGCCAGCCAGGTGCCCCAGCAATGTTCCTCTTGACCTTTAAGCAAAGACTGCAGTCTGGTACCCCTGTCAGAAAACTAACACCATCTACGACCTTGGCCTGCACAGTCTAGTAACCTAGAGTACAGCCCACCCAACCACTATTCTCACTCATGCCAACCCCAACCAACAAAGGACCTACCCTATAGCCCCATATTTGGTAATTCTTTCACAGAATTGCCCTTTCCAACGGTGATCTCCCACCTGATGTTACCACTTCGCTTTGTCTAACCTCTGTACATGCCTCCAGTCCCTTGATTCGTTCCTTTTCTCTCAGGCCCTCATCCAGCTCATGGCCTCATTTCTCTCCCTATTTGGCCAAAACAATATGGTACAACCACTCTCCAACTAAACATCAAAATTTCTTACGCCTGCACCCGCTGCCGAATCTCCCAACCTCAGATAAAGCCAAGTATCCTTTCTTGTTCTCATTTCAGTAGCAATGCACTGAGGGCTGCTTCAAGTAATGCACAATAATGTAGCTGCTTATCTCTGAACTACTTTTTTTAAAGATTTTATTTATTCATAAGAAACCCAGAGAGAGGCAGAGACACAGGCAGAGGGAGAAGCGGGCTCCCTGTAGGGGAGCCCGATGTGGGACTCAATACCAAGACCCTGGGGTCACGCCTCGAGCCAAAGGCAGATCCTCAACCACTGAGCCACCCAGGTGTCCCTCTCTGAACTGTTTTTATTCACAATACTTCTGACACCAAATTGTGCATTTTCCACACCAGCAACCAGCTCTCCAACTCTCTGGAAAACAGCTCGATGTCCTACAATTCTATTATATTCTGACACTATCAAGACTTAGTATCAGACTCTATAGGTTTAAAGGCTCAGTCCCATAAGGCGGTTGCATTCCAGATGCCACATCTCTGGAGGCTTCAGTGCACAGGCAGACTGATTAAATCACAGGTTTACTGGTGATCAGCTCAATCTCTTGCACCTCTCCTGAGGTCCTGAGAATCCCAACCCCTTCATGACACGGTTGGTTCCTTTCTTTTTTTTTTTTTTAGAATAACAAAAAATATTTTACTAAAACATAAGATTTACAGAAGTTTCCAGACAAGCCATACAAAATGGTCACAAGCTTTTTCTTGAAGGATTCTACACTTGACAGCAAAGTCACAATGTTAATTAGTGAGGGCTGTAATGTTTGTTTAATGTTCCCATTTTGGTTCAAATAATCAAGCTTGTCCATCTACAGCGTCTAAATAAAGTTAGACTTGGCTAGAGAGCATATTCTAAAGAACTGGTTAGCTGCTTTTAACCGATGCAATTAGATCACCATGAAAGGGGGGAAAGGAGCCCATAAAATTAAAATAAAACTGCCTCTCCCCCCTCAAAAATAATAATAAAGAAAAACACCCACACCCCTGCAGCTAACCCTGACAACTACCTTCATTCACAGTGCTTTATACTTAAACCATGATGGGGGAAATGAATAAAAGCAGAGAGGGGCCACTGCTTTTAAACGTTTCACAACAATCCAGATGGTACTTCTAGCCTCTGCTCATGCTTTACAACAGTGAATCAGGACAAGACATAGATTTGCTAATGTGCATTTAATCACCAAAGGACTGAAGATGTCTGGGCTTTTATTCTGTAATGTTTCTAAGAGTGTGTCCATTAAATGCAAACAAAAAAGGAAGAAGTCTTGGCAGAACAGAAGTGATGCACACTTGATGATCAGATCGATTTTAAATATTATTCATGGCATATAGCCTAGTCCATGCTTTAGCTGTTTCTATGGCTTGGGCTTCGTTGGTCTTCCACTGCTCCGCTACATCATTTGCTAACGGATCATCTGGATTGGGAGCACTTAACAAAGCCTGGATCGATAGCAGAACTGTGCGGATCTGCAGTGCTGGGGACCACTTATCTTTCAAGATATCTAAACATATTCTTCCCAACTTGTCTACATTAGGATGATAAATTTTGGTCATGAAACGTACTTTAGGGGCTGCCATCGGGTATTCTTCTGGAAGGAATAGTTCCAGTTTAAAAGTCCCTCCCTCAAAGGGGGAATCCTGGGGGCCAGCAATGACCACATGAAAATAATGGGCGTTGCTCTCATCTGGTTCTGCTTTAATGCCAGGAACTGGTTCTGCCAGCAAACGCTGGGTTTCCTTGATAATCCTGTGGGGCAGCCCGGCCATCTTGTCAGATCCCGAGTTCGGCCTCAGCTCTCGACCCTGGCTCCGCTCGCCTCACACACGAGTGGAAGTCCCGACACAGTTGGTTCCTACTGCAACCAGCCCCTGCAGAAGCTACCCAGGGCCCACAAATCACCCCATTAGCATCAACTCAGGGAGGGTCTAAAGGGGCTCATAAACGAGTAACAAAAACCACTCCTCTCACCTCTGACTCAGGAGGTTACAAACAAGGGTTGTAGAAGCCCTGGTTATCAGGAACCAGGGGTGAAGACAAAACAGCACAACATTACACTTAATCCTTATTTGCTGAAAATAAAGAGTGAATACCACCTGTGTCATTTTCTAAACGTAAAGAGTTCCCACAGAACATCTAGCATTTCTTATTATTCTGTGCTCTTTCGTTAGGTCAGGGATCCCTATGAAAACTTATTTAAAAACCAATGACCATCAACGGATTTAAAAACTTGCATTCTCTCTCTCACACGCAAATCTGGCATGCAATCTGCAGGGTTCACACAGACAAGTGAAATGTGGTTTCCAGGTTAAAAATCTGTCTCTGTGCGTCCTGTGGTGTCTGCAGTCTATAGAAAACTAAAACAAAATTCTATCACCTCTAGATTATTAAGGGAAAGGAAGACAAGGTACAAAATAAGTTTTAATGAGAAATTTTAATGGATTTTTGAAAGGTATATTTAGGCTTCACTATATAGGCATGATTGATTAAATCATCAGCCCTTGGTGATTAACCTAAATCTCCAGAGGTGGCACGCTGAAAAATTCCAACCCTCTAATTACGGCTTAGGTCTGCCTAGAGACCAACCCTCATCCAGAAGCTATCCAGGGATCCCAAACACCAATTATCTTACTAGCACACAGAAGGACACTCTTATTCCAGAGATCCCAAATATATGTATACACACACATATACATTTATAAATTATATCACAATTCACGTTGTCGCTACAAATGTATGGGCTCAACAGCAGCTAGAAGGAAGAAAATCCTACTATAGTTTTGGTTCCCTCATTCCCTGAACTATAACTAGATTCCTTTTACATGATCTTGATAGAAAAACTGCAGCTATCATTTTACCTTCTCATCTACACATTTCTTAATGTGCGCACCCACCTTCAGCTTCCCTTTGACCCCATTATCTTCTCATCTCCTTCCAGGCTCAAACTTTGTTTCCTCATTAACCCCTATTTTCCCTGTTTCTAAATATTAAACAGTTTTTAATTACACAGTACGTAAACTCTCCACGTAAAAAATTCAACAACAAAGACAAACGTTCTCTTTGACCAACTCCCAACCTTCGGCCCACCCCTGCAATCTCAGTTTGCTCCCTTGAGAGGATTAATTAAATGTGTAGGCCTCCAAGTTTCTTCCTAATATACACACACATACTGGATTGGTCAGATTATCTTTTCTTTTTTTGGGAGGGGAAGGGCGGGGAGAGGCAGAGGCAGAGGGATAATCTCACGCAGACTTCCCACTGAGTGCAGGTCCTCAATCTTAGGACCCTGAGATCATGCCAGGGCCAAAACCAACAGATGCTTAACCAACTGAGCCACCCAGGCGCCCCAGTCGGATTATGCTCTTAATGCACATGGTACCGTACTATATGCACCCTTCCCCAACTTGGTCTTTTCACGTGGTAATAGGTCATGGAGATCCTTTATCCTTTAGTATCTTCAGACCTACCTCATTCTTTTTAGCTGCCATATAGTATTCCACAGTATGCCATTTTCCCATCCATTGAACATTTAGGTTGGTTCCAAGTGTTCACTGTTAAACATTACCTGGAAACTTGTCAGAAACACAAATCCTCAGGGTTCAACCCACACCTATTGAATCTCCAGAGGAGAGGGCCAGGAACCTGTTTTCCAGGTAACTCTGATGCTCACTAAAATCTGAGAACCACTGCTCTACAGCAGGTATTAAAAAGTAGAAACATCAGGTCACAAAAAATGCACTTCAAATTTCTGATACTGTGAAACTAAATGTTGTATTTTCAACCGCTCCCTCTGTGCTGGCTCACCCCACAGCCTACAAACATGCTGACATTAACCTTGATTACATACATATGCACACACGCAAGCTGCGCAAGCCTCTCCCTGCCACAAACATCTCAAAAGAATATGGCATGCTCATAAACTCTACTTTCTTACCTTTTTCTATGACCTTTTCTCTATCCTTCAGTGATGGCTCTCCCACTCCCCACTCCCTCTGCCCCCTTCTAGGACGTCTCGTTTATTCTATCTCCCTATTAACCTTGTTCTGATTCTTTGGCCATTCTTCTACTAGTGTTATTTCAATCTGGTTTGCTTCTCCCGCTGGGCTGAAGTAACTGGTCATTCCTCCTTAAAATCCATCATTGATCTTTCAAAACAAGGAAATCTAAAATCATGTTTGATACCTGCTTAAACCCCTCCAAAGATTTCTTTAAAGCCCTTATTCTCGGGCAGCCCTGGTGGCTCAGCGGTTTAGCACCGGTCTTCGGCCCAGGGCCTGATCCTGGAGACCCGGGATCAAGTCCCATATCATCGGGCTCCCTGCAAGGAGCCTGCTTCTCCCTCTGCCTGTGTCTCTGCCTCTCTCTCTCTGTGTCTCTCATGAATGAATAAATAAAATCTTAAAAATAAATAAATAAATAAATAAATAAATAAATAAATAAATAAATAAATAAAGCCCTTATTCTCTCCACATTCAGGTCATCGCCCAGCTCCCTAGTGTTTGCTCATCACATCCTGTCCCTGTACTTCAAGCACCTGTGAGCCCAACTTCTAATCATCTTCTGAACAAAGCAAGCTGTGGCTCACACATTAGCTTGAGTCCTGTTCCTGCTGTGTATGTCCTTCTGTGTCACCTGACCTGTCCTAACATCTACTCATCCTTTGAGACTTAGCCCCAGCATAAAGCTGTCCTTGCCTGCCCTAGGCGCCCTTCAGACAGAACGAATACTGATTGCGTCTTCTATGATCTCACTGTTTGTTACAGACTTCTTTCATAGCACCTAAAACAAAATTCTGCAGAAACAAAATCATCTTACTCAACACTACATTCTCAGTAGCAAATACAACCCCAGACGGCAGCTGGGGCCCAATAAAAGCATGTAAATAAGTGAATGAATTTGCTAAACAGCACAATAACATCCATAATAAAAGAGTAATAGAACTAGTAGTTTAGAATGTTATCCTTGCCAGGTACTGCTTAGAAGACACACAAAAAACATAGGAGAGCAGCGACTAAATCAAATTACTTGCATGGAAAATTCACTATTCTGTGACAGTAAGTTCTTTAAAACACAATTCAAACTGCCTACATAGCAGCAGGCCCAGATAGTTTGCTTCCAACAATGGTGTCAGAAAACACTTTCTGGAAAATTCTGGTATTGCCTGCCACATTGCTGACTGGTCTCTTTCCGACAAGGGACTGAGTTTCTTGAACTTGATACAATGATGTATAACATAAAGGGGTTTTTGAACTTAATTTTAAAACTGTGGCACATTTTGAACCTCACAGCTTGATTCTACTTGATGAGACCTTCCCACCCCCCTCTGGGATATGTGCCTCTGGGTCACGATAGCCCACTTGTGAGCTTAGTAAGGCCCACAAAACACTTCTGAGTAGACACGTTTGTATGTAGTCAGCAAAGATGGAAGGGCGACCAGTGTCCTATGTACTCAGGAATAAACAACTTACCAGCTACAAATTCTGTTCCAGCAAGTTCTGCAGTGGCGAGGAAGTCATCGAGGGAGCTCTGTTCAGTCACTGACTGAAGATTAAGACGACCCCAATCGTAACCGTCGTTGAGCTCACTCGTGTGCAACTACGAAAGGAACACAAGGTAATAACACAGCCGTCCTCTTCTGCTTCCGACACACAAACATGCTCTACACGCCCAGGATCTGATCTGAACTTTTTTTTTTTTTAAAGGTCTTACTTATTTATTCATGAAAGATAGAGAGAGACATAGATAGGCAGAGACACAGGCAGAAGGAGAAGCAGGCTCCATGCAGGGAGCCCGACGTGGGACTCGATCCCAGGACTCCAGGATCAGGCCCTGGGCTGAATGCAGGTGCTCAACTGCTGAGCCCCCAGGTGCCCTGTTCTGCAGTCCTGAGGGCGATGTCAGCTCCCTTTAGGGTCAATATTAATACCACTTAACATTTAACTAGTCAACATTTAAGTACGACGGATGCTTTCCATTCATTGTCTCATTTAATTTTCTAAACCTTTTGAAATAAATTTTATGGTATCTCTCGTCTGCTGATGAGGAAACAATCTTGGACAGATAAAACATAACTAGCCTCTCGTTGCTGCTGATAAACAATGGAGATAGAGTCGGAGTCCACTCTGACCCCGGCACACAGAGCCGAAAATTTCCGGAGACCCCAGGAAAAAAAAAAAAACACGTGTCACACAGCTCTGTGCCACGGAGTAACGTACAGGGAAACGAAAGGACCCTGAGGCTAAGTCGTCGTATCCTGCGCAATACCCTCCGATGTTTTGAATTTTATCCTGTTGGGTTAAAAAGTCACTCGCTGGGACCTCACTTAATGGATTTCCAGACCCAATCCAGAGTTTGATAAACACTATTCTAGCGACATTTCCACTACAGGTGTGTATGTATGCATGCATGAATAAGTAAATAAAATTGAAGGTTCAAAGAACCAGTGTTTGGTCCAAGAATGAATAAATGAATGAAAATAAATAAAATAGAAGGTTCAAAGGGCCGGTGTTTGGTGGGAGGCCACACAGGTCAGCAGTAAGTCCGAGAAGGGACGGGAGTCCAGGTCTTTAGAATCCGCAGTCAGCCTTCCTACGTCTCCTCTTCTTTTTCACAAAGATCTTACGTGTTTGTCCCGGGGAGAGACGCAGGCTCCGGACGCTGCGCGGCTCGACCTGGGGTCTCCGGGACCGCGGCCTGGGCTGCAGGCGCTCAGACACTGGGCCCCTTCCCAGCACTTCCCACAGGTGGTAGCGGCTCCTTGAAGCCCGTTACAGGGTCAGTAACCCACCCC